CCAGATTGATAAATCCTTGAAAACTGCTAGACTTGATTAGTTCTGACTGTGCAAAGTTCTGTATTAGGCCTATGTTCTACAATATGAACTTAACAAGAGGCTTCCTCTAGTTCTGTGTAAAAGTATAGAGCGACACGAAGGTAAGCGCATTATTGTGTGTGTGTTTTTTTTTTTAATTGTCGGATTATAATTCAGTGTATCAATGAATGACACAGTTTTGAGTTGACTGTCATGGCGTGTGCATGAACGAGTGTGCAATTTTTCCTATCACTTAGGCTATATCGGGCACTTTTTGCATTTAAATTGGATTATTCTGACTGCTGACACTGAAGATCATGCATGTGTTGTTTCGAGGGTATCGGTTAATTTGATTGCCGTTTTGACAGTGTCTGCGTGCATATTTTATTCATATTCGGTAGCCTAATTCTATTTAATGTAGGCTATTTGCCCCGATTTGATCCGTTTACCTGAGAAATGTATCTAACGTTATATTTATATTATTTTCTCGTCAATATTTTGTTTTAAGGAGTTAAAATGGCCCTTATCCACCTTGATTGACATATTCTATCACATTATTTTGACAGTTAAAGTTTTGGGCGGGTTTTTGTGAGCTTTTGGGCTGGAAATTGTCCATCCAATCTGGCAACACTGCTCATTCACTTTCTCTCCATGCGGCAATAAAACGTGGCTTAAAATAGCAGCGAGTGTATTTTTAGACCTACGTTTAAGTCGAGTTCCCGCTGAAACGTGCTTGTACGTCAAATGTTATGAATTATGACGTACTCTAAGAAATACTGTGGTGGTGGTTGTAGTAGTAGCTGGTTTGGGATGTTTTCAGTTCTGACCGCATCACTGAATGCTACAGAGGGAACAGGTTGCCATTTTGAAATCATAAAAGTCCAGAATGCAATAAAACAGTCTGGACAGTACTAATGACATACATTTCACCCCTGTTTTTAGTATTATGAAAAAGGTAACATACACAAAAACACTCAAGGAAAACTTTAAGGAGGCTTAGAATGACAATACGTACCATTATTTCACACTTTCAAGTTCTACTTAGTGTATTTTGTGACCCTTACTCAGAATTGTTTATGTTTATATTTCTACCCAAGAGCATCCTGATGGTGGAAAATCACATTAAGCATGCTGCAGTTACTCACATAGGTGGACTGTTCTCTCCGCCAGTGTCCCAGACCACAGCAATACATCAAGAGAACATCCAGGGGGGTCGTGATGATGGTGCAGCCAAGAAGAGAGTCTAAATCACTCTTTCTGTGACACACAGCCTCTGGATCCCTTTCCGTACGGGACAGCCATCACATCAGTCTGATGAGAGACATAGCAGCATCAGCAGCAGGTAAGTGTCTCCATTCCACACAGCCTCCGGTCCAGCCCATAGATTTACAGAGTGTATAAAAAGCGGACATTCCTCCACAAACGGTGAAGAATGCGATGCAGTCAGTCAAAATGAGTGATTCACATCCTCCTGCTGTCCTCCTGATGCTCGAGACCAACAGGCTCACAGTCCGCTGGCTCCAGGTGTGTGTGCAATTTATTTGTTCGGCTCGTTCCTTGTTGAGTTCCTCTCCTTATTTATTTATGGCCCCCCAACCCACCCCCACCCCTTTTTTTCAAAGACAGACACAGGCTCGGAGTTTAAAATTGATACACAATGGAAATGTCATTTTCCTGCCTGACTTTCTCTGCGTCAGCTTGTCCCCGCCCACCCCGGCCAATCAGAATGCAGATGTGAGCCGCGTCTGAGTTGCCTTGTCTCCAGTCCACACAGGCAGAGGAGTCTGGAGTCCACCGTCTGCCATCTCTCCTCCCTGCTTTCTGCTGTTCTCTACCTCCACGACTCCTCCCTGCCTCCCTCCCCTGTGGATTCAGTTTCTTTCTGTCTCTTTTTCCCTCTATGCAGCCAGGGATGCTCCTGGTTACCTGTGTTACCCCCTCGTGTCCTTTCTGTTGCTGTGGTTTGCCGTTTTCTCTCTCCCTGTTGCTACACTGCATGCTAGAGCACTTAATGCAGGAGAAACACAGGCTGAATTCAAATGCACTTCCTTCTTCCTCTCATGGAATCTCAGCCCCTTTTCTTTATCAGTCAGTCCACTTCTCTTCTTTATCTATATACTGTATCTGAGTGTCTGTCCTTGCTGTCTCCTCTTCTTCTGTTGTCCCCTGCTGAGGAGGCGAGCAAGAGATCATGCAATTTCATTTGCAGCATCTGTTCACAAGCTGACTGTCAAGTTTAAATTAAGCTGTATTCTGAAATCTATGGGAGGCACGCTAAAGCGAACAATTCAGTCACACTCAGATATGATTTTTTAACGTCTACTTTCGAGGGAATAAATCACGCCTCATTGGTTAGATGAGAATAATTCTGAGCTGAGAAAATAGGCTTGAAATAAGCATTAGACAGAGAAAGAAAGCTATCATATTCATAGATTTCTCCTTGAATACTTGCACTTGGGATTTCAGAAAAAAATTTGATATAATATATAACAACATCTTGGTCATACACTTCAAATCAAGTACTACAAATAAAGTAAAAACCTGTTATTTAGTTAGCTGTTAGGTATATATATATATATGATTTAAAAGTATATAATGTATTTTTACAGTAAATTATTGATAAAATATTAATAATTTTTGTTCAAATGTTTACATTTAATTAAAATTAATTAAATATATATTAAAATTTAAACTGACCTATCAGATAACTGTGTGATCTGTGTGAGCTCTGTCACATCTCACACTGTTATTGCTCTCAGGGTTACAAACACTTTACATGGTATCTGACAACATGTGTGACCATGTATAATGAAAAAAATGATAGATGGATTTATAGCATGTAGCAGTATATGAGATGCGATGAAAGGGGATTTCTGAACATCATGGAAATTCAAAAGCTATATCTCATAATATGCATTATAGTTGAATCAAAGTATTACTGGTCAGGCTTTTTATGAAAAGCAATCAGGTTTTACATTATGAGAACATGTCCTGGTATAAGATTAACTTGCATTACCTTAAGTCAGTATCAACTGTAGCTGCACTCACTCACATGCTGAAATGAAATCCAGCAATAAACGTCTGCAACATCAGATGCTCTTAATAAATTGCTATATTTTACAAATATGAAAACATGACATTTGGCACAATGAATTAAAACGCACTGTGATGCAAGAAAAACAACAAAACAGAAAGCTTTAATACATGTAATGATAATATACTCAAAATATTAACACAAACAGCATTTACACTACAAAAGTTTGGAATAATTAATATTTTTTAATGTTTATTAAGAAAGTCTCTTATTCTCAACAAGCCTGTATTTATTTGATCAAAATACCATAAAATTATCATATTAGAATGATTTCTTAAAAATCATGTGACACTGAAGTCTAGAGTAATGGTTGCTGAATATTCAGCTTTACCATCAAATTAATAAGTTACATTTCAAAATGTATTAAAAGCTAAAAACTGTTATTTTAAATTGTAATAATGTCACAATATTACTGTATTTCTGCTGAAATAAATGCAGCCTTAGTGAGCATAATAGACTTTTTTTTTATGTGACACTGAAGTCTAGAGTAATGGTTGCTGAATATTCAGCTTTACCATCAAATTAATAAGTTACATTTCAAAATGTATTAAAAGCTAAAAACTGTTATTTTAAATTGTAATAATGTCACAATATTACTGTATTTCTGCTGAAATAAATGCAGCCTTAGTGAGCATAATACTTTTTTTTAAAAAACATTATTTTTAATTATTTCAAACGTATTATACCACTATATTCTACAATAAATATGAATAGAATGACTAAACATTTAGATGTCTGTGTATCGTTTTGGCCACCTGAAAAATAAAAATCAAGAAAAATACAATTTTTTTTCTAAACCCTAAAACGTATTTACAATCTACAATACATGAGCTGTAAATCTGCATGGATTTCCATAATGCCCTCAGAACATGCTTCCTCTGTTCAGCAGTTTTAGTTTAGTCATAAAGACAAAGTACATGAAAGATACCGCAGTGAAAATGTTCTTTAGTATGTACAGCACAGGGGTAACGTAACCGAAAACAGCCAACAGGCATATACGCACCACCAGGAAGGGCAAATCTTGGGAGAGAACACTTGATGAAGCCAGCAAAGGACTGTCTGGAGTTATAACAACACGCAGGATGGACAGATAAGCCAGTATGTATATGGGAAACACCCACCCTGAGTAATACACCGAATCAGTCCCGGCCACCCTCACCATTTCCACGGTGTCAAACCAAAACATGAAGGTGGCCACAAAGAGATCATGCCGAGGGTCTCGAATCCAGACAAAGTGAAACGGACCTGAGTAAGAATGAGAGGAGTAGAGATATGCTGTGCTGCTGGTGCGAGAGGTGCCGCCTTCATCTGCATCCCTCCAACGTCCTGATAGTGTCCCATTCCTGACCGGCGATCTTGGAGACGCATCGACGTCCCGTCCGTTAGCCTGCAGCTGTCCGGACACTGACGTCGCCTGTTCCAAGTGAGTCAACACCGGGCCCGGCATCTCAAAATCCAACTCTAATCCGCTTGCTTTTTTTAAAAAGAGGATAAAAATAGAACAGCCAACAGGCATATCCGCACCACCAGGAAGGGCAAATCTTGGGAGAGAACACTTGATGAAGCCAGCAAAGGACTGTCTGGAGTTATAACAACACGCAGGATGGACAGATAAGCCAGTATGTATATGGGAAACACCCACCCTGAGTAATACACCGAATCAGTCCCGGCCACCCTCACCATTTCCACGGTGTCAAACCAAAACATGAAGGTGGCCACAAAGAGATCATGCCGAGGGTCTCGAATCCAGACAAAGTGAAACGGACCTGAGTAAGAATGAGAGGAGTAGAGATATGCTGTGCTGCTGGTGCGAGAGGTGCCGCCTTCATCTGCATCCCTCCAACGTCCTGATAGTGTCCCATTCCTGACCGGCGATCTTGGAGACGCATCGACGTCCCGTCCGTTAGCCTGCAGCTGTCCGGACACTGACGTCGCCTGTTCCAAGTGAGTCAACACCGGGCCCGGCATCTCAAAATCCAACTCTAATCCGCTTGCTTTTTTTAAAAAGAGGATAAAAATAGAGCACAACTTAGACCGACAGATCATTTAATTGGACAAATTTATCGGCGGTTATCTCTTACCCTGTCCCGTCAGGCGAAGAGGGCGAATTTTCTCCACTATGTCCACACAAATGAGGGAGAACAAGACCAGAGAGACCGGGAGCTCAGTGAAGCGGTCACACTTAACGCCAGCATCAACTTGAACCTGCACAACCATAAATAGACCAGAGGGTTGCTGAGAGAACAAAGAGTCATGAGCAAAAAGCCTTTTATCGTCCTCAAGAGAAAACTGAGGTGAAAGACTGAAAATGGAAGCAGTTTTGCATGCATCACCGAAAACAAACTACTAAACTGGACCAATGTGAAGACTCCCATCTTCACCAGACAAAAACCGTGAGAACCCTTTTCAAAACTGGTAATACATTGACAGTTGGCTGTAATACAGATCTATTCACATTCCACAGCCTATAATACCCCATCTTTGGGTTAATGGTAAATCTGCTGGTCTACAGTGAGTTAATGAGTACCTCAGAGAGAATCTGTTTACAAAAAGTTTCTGTCTTGATGAGCCCTACGGTTTTTATTACGAACTTTATTCTGAAAGTAAGATTACAAATGATCAGTATATGGTATATATACATATACATTCAAATGGATACATATTCAAAATTAAATGTTCTAAAAGAGTGTGAAGTGCCATTAGGAACCTTTTTTTAGTTTATTCTCAAAATTATTCTCTAGGTGTCAGGAAACCATCACCAGTTTTAATGAACCCAATAAAATCAATATGTTGATCTCAGAAACTTATAACATTACACAACTCTCAAACCCTCTACACTCTTAAAAAAAGGCAACACAGTGATGCCATGGAACCACTTTTGGTTCCCTAAAAGTTAGTGTGAAGAACATTTTAAAAATCTAAATCCCCCCCCCATTATAAAGAATATTTTGTGCAGTGGAGAAGTTCCATAGATGGTAAAGGTTCTTCATGGAACCGTAGATGCCAATAAAGAACTTTTTTTTTTTAAAGAGTGTACAGTAAATAATGGTTCTTGGTAATAATATGGATTTTAATAATCATGAAGTGCTCAGTCAAATGGTAGTTTCCTAGTGAGACGGAATAATGCATTACCTTTGAGCTGGCTATGATTATAGCAAAGCATGGTAAAGTGCTGAGGATCACGTATGCAAGTGTAACAGGTCTCCTGCAGAGGAACACGATTAGCATCACAAATTAAGAAACATAGTTTAGAAATATCAAATGGGCTTATAATGCAACTTGTGTTTATAGTTAGTTGATTATTACATTTCTAGACATTTAATTAGACATGCTTTAATCAGAAAATATTTTAGTATTTTCTCACATAGTTCTTCTATAGTTATATAGAACGATTTACATTGAATCAGTAAAGGCAAAAAGGTGATTCTGAATGGTGTACATTTGCAGTGACCAGTCACAAGACTAATATGAAAAGTCAAACTAACATTTTACTGTTGAATAATGAGAGTTCATGGATCAGCTACCCTTATAAAACAGTGGCAGCATAGAAAACGGTTTAGTACTCACCAGTTGGTCACTTCTGAGAAGCGCTGTGTCTTGAGGATGAAGTACTTCAAAGGAACCCACACAAACAGGGTTACAGACGCCACATAGGCCACCGAGGCCGCCACCACCAGCCAGTAGGCAGTGACACTAGACGTCACAATATGAATGACAGAAGCAAAGCGCTCCATTACTACAAACACAGGAATACAGAGACATGCGAACTGCAGAAGCTCATAAAGGATGAGTTTGACGGTCTTTCCAGAGAGCATCTTGACAGTATGAGTTACTTGTCAGTAAATTCCTCTATGAGTGAGCCGTCACTGAATGCATCCAATGCATCTCTCACAGAACTGAATGACTGAACGCTCTGGACTCTGTACACTGCCGCTGCTTACACTGCATTCTTACAGGTGCTCTTTTACTGCCACAGTAATGAAGCGGTCACAATTCTCTTTTTATGGAGTTACAGGAGCAAAAAGTGCCAGTAGCAAACTGAAACATAGTCATAATGACATGCACCGCAATGTCGCAACATCAAGAGCATGTATTAATGGTGTTCTTAGCACAAAACAGGAAAACGTAAGTAATTTTATTTTTCTTGCCTTAGTGTTGTAAACTGCAAACAAAAAAGTTTTTTTTATCTGGTATCTTTATTTTTTAGTAAGACTCCCTTAAAGAAAGACTAATTTACTAAATTAACAGTATTGTTTGTATGTGTGTGAGCACGTTTTTTCTCAACAAATTGCAAGACGTACACTACCATTCAAAAGTTGGGAGTCAGTATGATTTGTAATTTTTAAAATAAGTTTAAAGTAAATAAGTTAATAGAAACAAATTGTTTTCTATTTTAATATATATAAAAATGTAGTTTATGACAAAGCTGAATTTTCAGTAGCTATGCTCTAGTCTTCAGTGTCACATGATCCTTCAAAAATCATTCTAATATGCTGATTTGATGCTCAAAAAACATTTCTTACTATTATTAATGTTATAAAAACAGCTGTTTGAGTTTTAGTTGTTTCAATTCTGCAATAAATCTTTTTTTTTTAAACGTAAACGGTCATCTTTGATTAATTTAATGCATCCCTGCTAATACAATTTTTAATAATAAAAAAAAAAACATTCTGACCATAAAAACTCGAGTGGTAGCGTATATTATTTTGAAGTTGATAAATTCTTCTTTTTAATAAAACTTTTGTTTTTGTTTTCTGATGAATTATTAAAATTTTATTATTTCGCTGTTGTAATTAATAATAATAACCAATTACCAAGTCTATTTTGTCTTGTTAAATTTGCACACCTGCAGCATTAATTTTGAATTTTTATTTATGAATTTTTATTAACATTTTTACAGTGAAACGACTTATACCACACTAATTGTTCAAACTTTTGCACGACAAATAAAATTACAAATAAAGAGCTTATTTAACCAATAAGCCATCAATAATCCAACTAAAACACCTCCGGTCTACCTGAGCAAAGAGATGCATAAACATGAGACACAACGTGTGCTGTACATTTGGCCACACTAATTGTTCAAACTTTTGCACGACAAATAAAATTACAAATAAAGAGCTTATTTAACCAATAAACCATCAATAATCCAACTAAAACACCTCCACCGCTCTACCTGAGCAAAGAGATGCATAAACATGAGACACAACGTGTGCTGTACATTTGACCTAGTTTTATTGTGAATGCTAATAATTAAGATGATTAAAATAGTACATACAAACAACGGGGTACATAGAACTGATACACCAAAAAGGTTGACGTAAGGATTATCATCTCCGTGTGCAAATGCTAAGATGTTACATTAGAACTGGCCCGTGGTCCCAATTTCCCAGAATGTTCTCTATGAAACGTCAACAACTACTCTGATAACACTGAAGCTACACAGAGACAGAGATGTGGGGTACTGCCTTGCTTTAGCGTAGGAGATGCAAATGAACGGATGGAGTCTGCTCTCTTTAGTGTCAGTCTCAGCCCTTGCCAGGACTTACGAAAATAAGAGGTCAGTTCAATCATTCCACCCGCTACAGATCATTTACACATGATCATTCATTCCCAGGGGATACGGAGAGTTTGGAAAAAAATCCAAGCCAAGTATTTCTGTCGCTTATTTTGAAAGAGTTATGGAAAAGGGTTCGAGTGCAGGGTTAATGCCATTCGGGTTCTTCTTCGAGGGTGGAGGAAACATATGTTTTAAGTGGACACATCTGAAATGAGGGTAATGAAAAGGGTAAATTAAAAGTGCATGATGTGGAGTAGCATTACTCCTCAACTTCCCATGTGCCCTTTCTACAGAAGAAGCAGCTGCTTTGAACATTACGCTCTAAAGACAGAAATGAGCTCTCGTATATACACATCTGCACACAGGCAGAATATTACATCCTTCTATTAAAGTACTGTCAATTAAAACAGCAAAACGACAATCAAAATATAAATAAAATGCACTAAAAACATCTGATCTGCTTAACACTGAAAATTGAGCTTAAAGACATTGGGGTGATGGGTCACTGTCAAGACAATGGCAGTGTTTCGCTACATGGTTCTGGAGGAGAGGCGAGATGACTTGAGGGCCTGAACATGCTCTCTCTCGCGCGC